GGTGGAGAGATGGTCATATTGCTTGGGTTATGAAGTGATACAAGGACATATTAAGCAGCTCTTTCCTTAGGTTCACATTTTTTTTATTGTATTTGTCATATCTTTCTTTCTTCTTATGATTTATGCAAAATAACAATAAAGAAAGATACGTTCACTCAATAAATGCGGTTGAGTGTCCATACACCATGGTTACTGTCCTTTTGAGACAGAGGTAAGGAGAGAACAGCACGGCCCCTCCTCACAGCCCCTCCCCAGAGAGGATGGTAGGGCCTACTTTGATAACTGCTATGGAGAAATGAGAATCTGAAGAAAGAGCAAAGGTTGTGAAAGTGGGTGGTTATTTTGGTCAAAGGAACTTCAACAATAAATACATTCTCATATGTTTGTCTCCTTAAAACTTGTTTATGCCTCAAGCCAGACATCGCGTTATTGCCTTCCGTGTTCCCAGTGTGCAATGGGGTGTCAGGAACAAAGTGAAATGCTTAATAAATATTTGGTGAATGAAAGAAACGATGACTAATGGATGAACGTTGAATTCCAGAATAAACCCAGATGTGAAGACAGACGGTCTGAGAGGTTTGATCTCCGCAAGATAAAGCAGAAGGCAAGAGAGGACGTCTAGGTTCCGGGGCTGCTGGCTTCAAACACAGTGCCGTCTGCACTGCTGTGTTCTGCGTGTCTGAAACATCTCTGTTTTAATACTGCCCCATCTGCTCCTCTTTCAGGGGTGACTAGACTTGGCTACTTGGATGGAATTCTAAAATTTTTTAGTTTTTGTTTTTTGTTTTTTTAAATTGGTCTTTATTTTTTTTTTTTTTAAAAAATTGGTCTTTATGGAAAATATCACTGCTTACTCCTGAACGGTCAAAACACTCCACCAAGGTCCATCTAACAGTGGTGTATTTGCTCACCTAGTAAACCAGTTGTTCCACCCCAAAGGAAGTGTTTCAGAACGTGTTAATAAAACAGCCAGGAAAGAGTTCCCATTGAGATCTTTCGGGATTCTTTTAAGAAGAAAAAATAAATTTAAAATACTTCTCAAACTTTTGGATCATGACAACACTCCTACTGAAAATTACTGAATACCCTAAATAGCTCATTTGTAGGTGTGTTTTTACCTATCATTATCCATTATTCAGAAATTAAGACTATTATCTAAAAATGTACTTACTAATTAATTTATATTTAAACTATAAGTCCACTGACTGCTAACATAACATCTTTTTAATGAAAAGCTGTCTCCTAAAAGCAAAGTGTAGGCAATGAAAAGGAGGGATTGCTTCCCAACTACAGACCCCTCTCGTGCCTCAGAGAAGAAGTCAGGTCCCCAGATGCTTCTGCATTTGATTTGTTGTGATCTCCTTGTCATTTTGCCTTGGGAAAATTCCACCAATGCTTATGAAAGAATGAGGTTTAAAAACTCAAGTGGTACCTTGGTGTTATTGTAAAAGTAGTTTTGACATCATGGATTTAATGAAAATGACTAGGAGAATCTGGTGAACTACTGTGCCCATATGTTATAGGAATCTTAGATATTAAAAAGTCATGGTAAATACTATTTATTAATAATTAATCATAATATAATAATTGTTATTGTTATTATTTCTCATGCAGTCAGGCTGGACTAAGACTCATAAACCTGCCACAGCCTCCTGAGGGCTAGGATTACAGGTCTGCCCAATCATGCACAGCAAATACCACTTGTCTTTGACTTTGGTTTTTGGTTGTGAGACAGGATCTCTCTACGTCGCTCTGGTTATTCAGAAGCTCTATATACAGACTAGAATAGCTTTGAACCCATAGAGATCAGCCTGCCTCTTCCCCAAGTGACAGAGTTAAAGGTGTGCATCATACACGCCTGGCTAAAACTTGCGTGTCGGGAAAGTGATAACTGCATATTTAAAAGCCAACAAAAGGAAAAAGGAAATTGTGCTTTAGGTTTTTGTTGTAGGAAGGCACAGGCCTGGCAGGAGGGCTCCTCAGATGAAGGCAGCTGCCAAGCCTGATGCGCTGGGCTCGATATCCAGAAGCCGTGATGGAAGGAGAGCCCCAGCTCCTGCAAGGTGTCCTCTGACTTCCGCCCAAGGGCTGTGGCAAGTGTGCACCTATCACACACATTCCGACACACACTTATACACGTACCTATGTAAAAAGACAGTAATAAATAAGTAAATGGAATACAAAAATTTAATGTACTAATTTTCTAGAACACGGCAATGTTCTTCAACTTTCAAAATCTTCAGGAGAGGGCTGAAGAGATGGCCACGTGTTAAGAGTTTGTTTCCCGGCACCTCTATCAAGTGGATTTCTCTCTCTCTCTCTCTCTCTCTCTCTCTCTCTCTCTCACACACACACACACACACACACACACACACACACACACAAACAAATAAATAATGTGACAAGTCTGTTTTAGAACAAAATCACCAGACTGCATATTTAAAATGCTGATTTGGGTTCTCTTGGAAAAGTTTCTGCTCTGGTAAGTTTGGGCTGAGACCTAAGAAGGTGTATCTTTTAACAAGGTCCTTACTGCAGGGACCCCATCCCCAAGTGACAAAAATCCATGGTGAATTGTTTGGGTGAATTCTAGGAGTGGGGCAGAAGCCTGGGTATTTTACAAAGCTGAAATGTTGAAGTGAGGAGAAATTTAAATTTTGAAGTAGAGGTAAATAACGGACTTGAAGCAGAGTTAGAAACCGAGGAACAAGAGACCCTACTGTTCTGTCTTCGCAGCACGTGTGCTCCCAAGCCCTGGTTGTCTACAAGGGGTGTGTGTTCCTAGCAGCACGGGGTTTTTCTGAGCTCTCCATCTCATTCTAAAGTTCTCTGAAAGTCACCCAAACATGGTTCCCTCACTCAGTGATGCGAAGTTTGTTTTATGCTGTGAAACTGAAGTAGTAATCTTTTTTTCCTCAGAGAAGTGGTATTGAAATTTAGAAAAGTCCACCATGGCACCTTTAAATCCACTAATCCACCCATATACTTATCCAAAGTCACGAAGCGTTGCACCCCAAGCCCTGGAAATAGCAATATGTTTATACTGTAGGGTGCTCAATGTTTTACTGGCCCCAGAGTTCCTCTAGTAGATCAGACTGTGACGGGGACTGGCTTACACACTGTGCTGGCAGGGTTGGCAGGTCCAAGTGGCATGGGACCTGAAGCTGGAGTCCACAGCACCATGGTTTCTTCCTTGGTCAATCGGCTTAGCTTAGAAGGCCTCTCAGTCCTTGGATGGGACTCATGCCAATTATTGAGGATAGTCTTCTTGGATAACATCATCTGTTTGTAAACGTCAGTCACATCTGCAAAGTACCTTCATGACAGCTAGAAGATTAGATTCTGTTGCTGTTTTCAGTATTGGACGTTGAACTCAGGTAGGCCTGTGGCATGCTGGGTAAATGCTCAAACACTAAGACACTGTAGTCACAGCTGAGTTTTTATTGCATTATTTGGTATCATGGTCAAAACAGGTTGGCACATGAAATGAGCCATCCTAAGAAAAGAAAAGCCTTTGCCGGATGAATGAGTGGCTGAAAGGAGAGATGAATGATTGAGAGATTTGGTTTTGGTTGTGGTAGAGAAACAACCTAGCAGGATCAATGGACATGCACACAAATTTCTTACACCACAGAAAGGCTATTTTGATGTCTTTTGTTTCTTTACTTCTTTAAGTCAACATCTCATGTAGCCCAGGCTAGTTTCAAAGTACCACACTATTGGTACTCAGTGTGACCTCGAATCCTGAGCCTCTTTCTTGTACCTCCTCACTTACTGGGACTTTATGCATGTGTCCTCATGCCTTGCGGTGTCTTTAGGGAGGTACTCAGTGCCTGAGGCATTCATTCCAAATGGATGAAAAGGTCACATATATTGCAATGCTGGTTCTTACTTAAATAGCTGAAAGATTTAGCAAAGAGCTCCGCCAGGGTCAAGGGAATCTGGATCTCTTCCTGGAGTCCGCTAGGGGCTCTCAGCTCGCGCCAATAACATTTCCCAGTATAACTTCAGTTTATGATGCTTTCTGGCTTTCTTCACATTCAGCTGGTAAAAGATGTGGTAGTTTCTGGAGACACATCTGTGCTGACTTGAGGTGTTAGACTCTAAGGTCAAAGCCAATGTGCCAGGTGTGGGGGTGCACACCTGGAATACTAGCATCAGGTGTTGGTGGTGCACACCTGGAATACCAGCACTCAGGTGTTGGCACACACCTGGACAACCAGCACTCAGATGTGGCGATGCACACCTGGAATACCAACACTCAGGTGTTGGTGGCACACACCAGGACTACCAGCATTCAGATGTGGTGGTGCACACCTGGACTACTAGCACTCAGCTGTTGGT